CTTTTGAAGAGCTTCCGGAATGGAGCAAGTTAGGCTCGAGTAGAACCAAGAAAATCAGCCCTTAGCTTTGTCGGAGTTTTGTATTTTACTGAGCCTTAAATGTATATGTGTGTGAGATATATAAGATTTGAATATGTTTATAAATTATTATTGTATCATATAGGTACAAGCTCAATGGACATTTTTATTTTTGCTTTACTTCCGCTTTAGGCCCTCGATATGATTATAAATATTTTGAAATTTTGTCTTTGAGACCGAAGGTAATCTTAGATTACTGGCCAACTATGACGCTAAATCTATAGGGAAGGATTTGGGTCATGACATGAATAGCTTCGTCAGGGGACATATCGATTTTAGCGGTGTCGGAGACTCCAGAGATGACGTCGGACATCTCCTTCAATATTGGGATCATCGAAATTGGTGGTGCTGTTAAGGAAAGCTTTTTGCGAAGAACCCAGATCTTGCTACTACTGCAACATTGTGGTCGATTTTCAAACAAAAATTGTAGAAGCATTTGGTTTTTAGAGAGAGTAAGAGAGAGCGATAGAGAATAGAGAGCGACAGGAGGGAAGGGGGGAGAGAGAGAGTAGTTATGGGTATGGGTGTGAGGGACCTTAGGCTACGCGAACAAATATTGTAGACCTCTTCCATTATCAAAAGTTAGAGAGGAATGCTGCACTAATTACCCAAGAAAAAGATACTTTGTGGGATAAATTTAATTATAATAATTCAGTTTTTTTTTTAATGAAAGATATTGTTTAGATGATAATTATCACATAACGTGATAAATTTTGTCTAAGACATGAATAGGTCGATATTTCACTAACTATTTTTTTAAAATTATATATTAATCAAACTATTTTTACCGGCTAAATTTAATATAGATAGATACAAATTTTAAAATATTATTATACTTATGAATGACTCAATAATGATTTTTTTTTTTTTGAATTTTGAAAAGTTATAATATTTGACTTAACTAATATGTATATATATATATATAATGTTTTAAAGGAGTGAAGATAAAATGCAATAATAATACTACCATATTGATCAAATTAACAATATTTTAAAGGAGGTAAGATTAAATGTCCAATATATTACCATATTGATTAAATGTCCAATAATTTTATGACATATGTATTTTGTATTTTTAAAATTGAAAAAAAAAATTACGTTGACATTTTAAAACTCAAATACTTAACAGTGTTTTTGCTTATATAATAGCATATATTTTAAATTAAATAGGGTAGATAAATAAATACTTGAAAATTGTAATTAGTATTTTGGATATCTCTTAATTTTTCCTTTTGAATTTTACGGGAGAGAATAGATTTGGGTAAATCAAGAAGGAGATTATTTTATATTTCCTTCTGAAAAACATAAATTTGGAATAATTACTATTTTTATAATTATTGGTTTAATGGGTTAGTCAATAATGTTTTTTAAATTATTTTTTAATTAAAAAACGTCATAAATTTAATTAGAAGTGTTGTAGTTTTTACAAGCTATTCGCGAAAAGCCTCTTTTGTTTAATGTATAGTACAAATGCATAGATGGATAGATATGTATAGATATAGTTTTGGAAGAAAATTTTAAAAAATTTCTATACTTGATCGGTAAAGAATAATGTATGAAATATGAAATATTTATTAATTTTGTAATAAATACATTTTAGATTTTACGACAAATGTATAATTAGGAAATAAAAAAAAAATTGCTCTACTTGATGTGCAAATATTAGTGTTTTTTTTAGAAGAATTTTTTTTAAGGTTTCTGATATTAAGTTTTTACAAGATACTCTACTGGATGTGCAAAAATTACTCTAGTTTGCTCAATTTCACTGATTTTCTTTGTATTTTGAAATTTCTTTGAGTTAAAATTTCTCTAATTTGCTCAAAAATTTCTTAGTGTTTTGAGTAATTTTATCTGATTTGCTCATAATTTTCTCTGTATTTTGACCAAAGCAGAGAAAATTGAACTACAAACAAGCATATTTTTGCACAAAACATACAAACAAGCATGTATATATATTGGTGTCTTCATCATCATCGAACAACGTTACCAACACCAACAACACAATCTCAGTTGAGCATTACTCCTATCACAGAGACCTCTAATTTCCTATCATGGCTTTTCTCCTTCTGTATACCCATACCCATATCTCCTTGCAAAAGAAGGATCATCGACATTGACCTATCACTTTTCCCAGACGACAACGACGACGACAATGATGATATTCAAGCTCTCAATTCTTCATCATCTTCCGATTATAGTCAGCGATTCATTCCAGTCTACGAAATTTGCATAAAACCGAAGCCTCTCAGTGATTCATTCAGCATAATGAGTTGCACCCACTCTTACTATTCCGATTGTAATTTCAAGTTCATGGCCTCTGAGCTCCAGGATAACATTGCCCAAATTCAATGTCCAATCCCTGACTGCAATGGCCTTGGTAGGGGAAATGGAGAAAGAGATGAGAGAGAATGAGAGAGTGAGTGTGATATATGGGTGTAGGTGAGGAACCTTAGACTATAAAAAAAGATATTGTGGACATCTCCCATTACTAAAAGTTGGAGAGGGATATTAGACTAAATATTCCTATTTTTTATTAGTAAGATTAGTGTATGATATATGAAATATTTATTAATTTTGTAATACATAGATTTTTATTATTATTTTACAACGTAAATATATTATCTATTTTTCATTTATAACTCTAGATTATGTTTGGAAATGTTAAAATATTTTCATATAAGTGACGTGTATTGTTATATTTAAAAAATTCAAAATTATGAGAAATAAGAATTGAGGCTTTGAACTTCAAACAAGCACCTCATAATGTTATTGCTTATATTATATAATTGGAAAAATTGACAATATTTGATTTGATTTCTAGAAACTTGTTTTAGATTTTTTTTTTTTTTAACAAAAACTAAAAATTAATTTGGTGGGAAAAAAAGTATTTTTATTTTTATATAATTTTATTGTCATAAATAATTTTTTGAAGTTTATTTTTATCAAATTAATTTTTATTTTTTCAACAAATTTTTTTTTTTTTCTCCCTAAAAGACAAACACAATAGCTCCGCAAGAAATTAATGACCCCAGCTGTGCATGCATTGATCCCTCCATTGATTTTATTATTCTTCTCTTCACGACCTTTTTCTTCTTAAATTTGCCAATCCTTTCCTACATGAATGACACTTTAAATACATATGTGTAATATATAACTAGGTATCGAAAATTAATTAACCATGAATCATTAAAACATTGTCATCACACATAGGACTGGTTTTTGAATTACTAATGAATCACTAAACCACATATACCAAAATTAACAACTAAAATTACCACATATGGAACTCACAAAATGATTAGGACATGACCTCAAATTTTACTGTCATTTTAATCTTTTGGCCCCAACTGTATTCTCAATTATACATTCACTCCTAATATTTGAAACTCTAATGCTGTGTTTGTTTGGAGGATTTGGGGAGAGATTTAGAAAAGGAAAGGGAAAAGGTGTGTGAAACTATGTTAAATATAAACATTTTTATTCACATTTCACTTACCTTCTCCATTTTCCTTTCCAAATCCCTCCTCAAATTCCCCAACCAAACACAGCATAACTCTAGTCCTACCTTTACTTCCACCCCTACCTGTAACCTCCACATCTGGTAGCTCATTCCTTAGATCTCCTTAACTTTTTCTTATTTACTTGCTCCACCTCCATTCCTTTCATCCTTCTCTTCCAATACCCACCTGTTGCCTTTCCTTTTCATTTTTCTTCTGCAACATGCAATCTTGACATGTCTCTTTTAGGCATGATTCTCTCTCTCTCTTAAAAGGGTCGAATGGGAACGAGATAATGGGAGGGGGTTTGTTGGAAAGAAGAAGGCGGGGCATAGGGAAAAATGAAGGAGGAGAGGGGGAATGGAAGTTTGGTGTGGTTGACTAATTGCGAAGAAGCTATGATGAGATGTAGGAGGTGGTTGAGAGAAATTGAGGATGTGTGTATAAACTGGCTGGAGTTAAGAATGGGCATGAGAGCGTTGTTGGATGGAGCTAGTGGTGTGTATGTGTATGATTAGAGTAAGGATAGAAATATAGATGAAAATTAAAATTTTATGATCAGGTAAAATTGAAAATATCTCCCTCCTTGCCCCTCCTTCCAAATGAAGAGAGGTGTAAAAAAATACAACTAAGATATAGAAAATAAAAGATAAAATATACTAAAAAATTAACAAGACAAAATATCATATCTAAACCACAATTATTTTATTTTTTATCTCATAAAACTACAAAAAAATCAAAAGCGTCGTTTTGAGTATTTTGATGTTGTTTTGTACTCAAAACGACGTCGTTTTGGCAAATTCGAGCCATTTGAGCCACAAAAATTAGGGCCCTCTACCATTGTTGGAAAATAAAAGATAGAATATACTAAAAAATTAACAAGACAAAATATCATATCTAAACCACAATTATTTTATTTTTTATCTCATAAAACTACAAAAAAATCAAAAGTTCTTCATAAACAAAACTTTTTTAACTAGGCTAAAATAATCAAAAAAAAGTTAAAAAAGTCATTTTCAAATGAATGTTTTATATAAAATGTAAGATTGGATAAAGGGATAGAATGAGAATCTTGAGGGTATTAAGAGATAAATTTAAAATTTTTGAAATTTTAAATCAATGTAATGAGAAAGTAGATATTTTATTATGGTCAATTTTTTAATTTTTTTATAAATTTTTTTGAGAAAATGTTTCTCTTTTTTTTTTCGAGTAAATTATAAATACGAGATTTTTACTTAAAATATAAATTATCTTTTGTAATTTTAAAAATTATAAATATTCATTATTAGGTAAAATAAATTTTTAATTATTCTCTTATACATTAATAAAGTTAAAATAAATTTTTAATTATCCTCTTATACATTAATAAAGTTATTTGAATTGAGCCATTGAAGACTAATCAAGAAAATAAGATAGATCCATAAGCCAGGAGCAAGCAGAGTCAAGAAAAACACGTACGTATCGCATCCCCTTCTCTCTTTCTCTCTCTCTCTCTCCAAGTGGTATGTTCCGTCGCTAACCCCATCCCATACATTACGTACAGTATATCTGTGTATATATACACATACATACATCTTCCTAGAAACCCTATCAACCCAATTTTCAACCCAATTTCTCAAATTTTGCTTCTCAAATCCTCACTCACACCCCCAATTTCACGTGCGTATATGTGTCTTGTTTAGATTACATAACAAATTGGTTTCGATTCGGTTAGGGTTTGAGGCAAATCGATTCGAATTCAGTGATGTTTAGGGTTTCAGAGCTTCGTTGAGGAAGATAATGGTCGATTCAGCTGGAATTTGTGTGTATTGTATGGGCGAAGAATGCCGGAGCTGCGCAAAGGGGTACGACGCGGCCGTGATCCGGTAGACCAGCGGCGTCGGAATCCGGCGAAGAAATCGGAGCATTTGGTTGGGAATTACATCAAGACCAGGGCGGCGGTAGCGAAAGAAGCGGCCGAGGCAAAGGCGGCCGCCGCCGAGGAAGCGGGGGAGCGGAAGCGGCGAGGGGCTAGGTTAGTTGGGGCGGCGAAGAAGCGGAAGGAGGAACAAGTGGTTGTGATTTCGGAGGATAAGAAGGTTGAAGAGGGAGAGAAAGAAGGTGGGTCTTTGCCTGCGAGTGGAGGTGAAGGTGCTGAGGCTGCGATTGGGAAGAAGAGAGATACCATGGGGGATGAGAGTGGTGGTTTGAGTGCTAATAAGGTGACTGGGCAGGAAGAAGAGGGTAACACTGCCCCTTTCCCTGAGAAGGTATAATTTTCTATTTCATAGTTTCCCTATATATATATGTATGTATGTTCTTTTCATGGGTTTAGTCTATAATTTTGATTCAAAAGTTTGTAATAAATACATGAACTAGTCTAAAAATTGTAATTGTATGTTACCATGAATTTCCTTTGTTATTTAACCTCAAGGGATTGACTTGGTGTCAAGGCTTGGGGCATGGGGGTATGCTCCTTCCAAGGTCTAAGGTTTGAGTGCAAACAATTTATTGGGGCTAGTCTATACATGCATGACTTTTTCTTGGCATTAATTGGGATCTCCTCAAATGGACGGTGGGATTGGTCTCCCGAGTAGTTGGTCTAATGGGCCGGATATTGAGTTATCAAAAAAGGATTTTCCTTTGTTATTTGAATTAGTTTTTGAGTTGAGGAAACAAGCACGTAAACTTTTTCCTTATTTATCTTTGAAAGTATTGGTAATAAGCTGGTTTTAAAATACCTACCATGTGTGTGTGAATGTTTTTTCAGTTGTAATGAACTTTTGAGAAACTTCCCAAATATCCAATGACTTGAGATGCTTTTATGGAATTTTGTTAGTTTGCTTTTGATTTGGTAGGTTCAAGTAGGAGGATCGCCGCTATATAAGATTGACAGGAAGTTGGGTAAAGGTGGGTTTGGTCAGGTATTTGTGGGTCGCCGCGTTTCGGGTGGAAATGACCGCACTACCGGTCCTGGGGCTGTGGAGGTAACGTTATTTTAAATTATCATAAAGGCAATTAAGTTTGTGGACACCGGTTTTTTTTTTTTTAATATATATTTATTTTTGACTGGGGGGTGTCTTTGATACTAACAAGGTTTCCAAACACTTTCACTTGTTATGGTTAAACTAGGTAGCTCTGAAATTTGAGCATAGAAATAGCAAAGGCTGTAACTATGGTCCTCCATATGAGTGGCAAGTGTACAAGTAAGGATAATAATTCCTGTTGCGACAGATCTGTTTGATATTAGGAGTGTATTTCTGTTGTATTTAAACTTGTAATTTTTTGGGTGAACAGCACACTTGGAGGAAGTCATGGAGTACCTAGAGTACACTACAAAGGAAAGCAAGGAGACTATTATGTAATGGTATGTTGAACATCTTCGTGGCTGTTTGTATATTGATTACCATTATACAATGTAAACTTACACGTATGTTTTTAGGTTATGGACATGCTAGGGCCTAGCTTATGGGATGTATGGAATTCCTCAGGGCAGTCGTAAGTATCCTATCTTTCGCATTAATCTTGCTTTTATCCTTCTGATAGGAAATGGGCTTGCTGGATTATTAGCATCTTAATCTTTTCATTAATCTATATTTGCCCAGGATGTCCTCTGAAATGGTGGCATGCATCGCTGTCGAGTCTTTGTCAATCCTAGAGAAGATGCACTCGAGAGGGTATCATGTCGCATTTTTTGTATTCTTGTTCCCCATTTAATTTACCAATGGTGTCTTCTTTAATTAAGGCATAAACTATTTAGAGGCTCCAATAATTTTGGTTTTGGTTTTGCCTTTTTTTGTTTAACATATTTCCCATCATGACTGTTCTTCATACTAGTTATGTGCATGGAGATGTAAAGCCAGAGAACTTTTTACTTGGTCAGCCCTCTACATCACAAGAAAAGAAGTTGTTTCTCGTGGACTTGGGGTTAGGTGGGTGAACTTTGTTAACAACTTAATGTATCTAAAAAAATAATATATGCTGCTCTATTCTTTTCTAATTTTTTGATTAACACGTGAATTGCAGCAACAAAGTGGAGAGACAGTTCTAATGGGCAGCATGTTGACTATGATCAACGTCCTGATATGTTCAGGTCTGCTGTTGCTTGTGTTCTTTTGATATGGCCAACGCTTTCTTTCTATCATTTCTATACCTCTGTTGTGTTATTTTTCAGAGGAACTGTCCGATATGCCAGTGTTCATGCTCACTTGGGAAGAACTGCCAGTAGAAGAGATGATCTAGAATCTCTTGCATATACACTCATTTTTCTTCTCCGAGGCAGGCTTCCGTGGCAAGGGTATCAGGTGTTGGCATTATAGCCTTTAGTTACTCTACATCTTTCTAGGCCCATGTAATTGTTGCCAAAGTTGTTCTAAAGATACAATATTTAGTTTCCCTTACGCGCACACTGCTTTTTATTTATTAGGGTGATAACAAGTCATTCCTAGTTTGCAAGAAAAAGATGGCAACATCTCCTGAAATTCTGTGCTGCTTCTGCCCTGCACCACTTAAACAATTTCTCGAGATTGTGGTGAACATGAAATTTGATGAAGAGCCTAACTATTCAAAGCTAATCTCTCTGTTTGAGGGACTGATTGGTCCCAATCCTGCTATACGGCCAATAAACACAGATGGTGCTCAAAAGGTAATTGTGGTGATGATACTGGCCTCTTTCTTGATTACCTACTGGTTTTAACTGGTTCTATTTTCGAAATCATTTGTTAGATTATATATCAAGTTGGTCAAAAACGAGGTAGACTGAATGCTGAGGAGGAGGATGATGGGCTGCCTAAGAAGAAGGTTCGTTTGGGTGTCCCTGCCACACAGTGGATTTCAATTTACAATGCCAGGCAACCTATGAAACAGAGGTAGAATTGTGTTTTCTTTGTACTTCATCCACTAGCCTAGAGTAGTGGCATTCAAATCCAATGAGGGATTGTGAATGTTTTCATGAATTCATGATCCCTTTTATGAAATGATATTTCCATTCAATTTTATTTTTTATTTTTTTAAAATATCAATTTCCAATTATCTTAACTTGAATTCATCTTTAATTATTGATTTGGTGGCTTGAAGATTTTTTTTTTTGATTTTTTGATTTGTTTATTACTGCTTCCCTTTTCATTGGTTATGAATTGTGGGTGGATTATGAACCAAGCTGTTCATGAACAAGCTCAACTCAACTCTTTAAGGGCTCGGCTCGGTTCAGTTCATTTAGTAAACGAGCCGAGCTCAAGCTCGAATGTTAGGCTTATTTAGCAAACGAGCTGAGCTCGAGCTCACATAAGCTCAACTCGTCAAGTTCGGCTCGTTTATCTTTATTTAAATTATATGATAAATATATTATTTATATATTAAATAATATAAACAATATTTAAAAAATTATCGAAAGCCTGAACTCGAGTTTCATTAATATGAATGAACCTAGCTGAGTTCGAGTCGAGTTACTTATTGAGCCCCGAGCCGAGCTCGAGTTTCATTAAAATTAACGAGCTGAGCCGAGCTCGAGCCCAATTCCTTATCGAGCTAAGCTCGAGCTCAATAAACGAGCTTGATAAGTAAACGAGCCGAGCTCGAGCTCAGCAAAGCTCGGCTCAGCTCGGTTCGTTTGCAGCCCTAGATTGGAGTAAGCTTTGCTAATATATAGAAGTCTGTTTTCTGCGAAGTCCTAGTAGCTTTACTGCTGTTACAAAGTTTTATGGAGATTGTATGGTAGTTTTAATGAGTGTACTATTTTCGAAAGTCTTTCTGCAAAAGCTTGCCGCAATGGGTTTTGGAGTTCATCTTCATGATTTTTTGGGGTGCTTTGTGTGCATGTGTATGCTTGTGTGAGTGGGGACATGAGTATAGAGGAGCTTGAAATTTTCATTGGGAAATAGTTTCTGAGATCTTGTTGGTTCTTGGGTAAGCAATGCACAAGTCTTGCTTTAGATTAAAAATGTAGTTGAGCTGGATCTTGTAGGTGAATCCAACAGCAGTTTCCTTCAAAAATACCTGAAGATTTGAGGAATTTGGGACTTACGTATTGTATGTTTGTGTGGGACTGTTTGTTTTGTGGGGCCGATTGGTCTGGTGTGGGCTGAACGCTCAATTGCTTCCCTTTGGTTTCTTTGATTTCAGGATGATAATCAACTTGATGTTTAATCAATTGAATGCTACTGTCTGTGGAAGGGGATTTCCTTGTTTGGATGAACATAACAAGCATATGATGATTGATGACTTATTCATATTCATTAGTTGTGATTCTCTGATTGGTCTGTTGTCTAATTATGTCCTTGGTTTTGTTATTAGGTATCATTATAACGTGGCAGATGGCAGACTGGCTCAACATGTGGAGAGAGGAAATGCAGACGGTCTACTCATCAGTTGTGTGGCATCTTGTTCCAACTTATGGGCACTTATTATGGATGCTGGAACTGGCTTCACTAGCCAAATATATGAGCTATCGCCTTTCTTCTTACACAAGGTGAATTTCTTTGAAACATGTCTGTATTTTGTTTATTGTATGCATGGACATCAGATTCACCCAACCAGTAATGCATATGATGCTCTTAACATTACAGGAATGGATCATGGAACAGTGGGAGAAGAATTATTACATCAGTTCTATTGCTGGTTCTAACAATGGAAGCTCTCTAGTGGTCATGTCCAAAGGTATGTTTGTTTTGTCTTGAAGGTTTTGATATTGATGGATGATCCAATTCTATTTTGAAGTAAAAAGATTTAGGTTATGCGTGTCAAATTGTAGTGGTTTCATTTGCCCATTATGCTTAGGTTATACCATGGTGAACAAAATATCACTCCATTTGTTTGGTCAGAAAACATTTTCCGGAAAATATTATGTATTTTCTGCCATTTGTTACTATGGAAAATGAAAGTCAGCGGAAAACATTTTTCATGGTCAACAGAAAACAAGCCTATTTAGGCAAATAGGCTTTCTTTTAGGCTTCCAAAGTGGAATTCTTGTCTAGCCAAGCAATAGTTGCTGCATTAAAATTTCTGAGCGTGACAGTTTCAGGGAGGTTATTGCACAGATTGTAATGGAAAACCACATTTTGACCTTATGTATTAATGCAAATGTTCTGATGTGTTTTCCTTTTTCTTCATGCATATTATTGTTATTAATTGTTGTTAGTGAGGGTACTATTGTCCTTGTCATGTAGCTTTCTAATATAAACATGGATGAGGTACAGGGTATTGAAACAGGACCAGGACCCTAATACCTATTCTTATAATTCTCTCCTCTCTGTCTCACCTTCTCTATCGCTAACTGTAATTCCATAGCTTTCTACACTGACTATGGAGTTATGATGTTTAAGAGAATTGGCATGTAATCATATTGAAGCACACTTAATGCAACGTTGACAAGCTTATTAGAACAAGCACCTTATGACTTGCGATACTCTCTCTCTTCCCCCCCTAACTCTTTTCCCCTTTGTCTTCTCTTCTTTCTATCCTTCCCTTCTTTTCTATTTTCCCTCTTCTTCTCTTATTCTTTGCTACTTCTCTGCTACTGTAACTTGACTTGTACCTGTAATTAGCTCAAAATATTCACTGAAGGCCTCAAACTCCTTGTCAAATAATTTGAGCGACTTGATTCATGTAACAGCTCTGGTGCTGTTGTATCATGCCTAAACATTATCTATTTCTTTAGTTTAAGGGTGAATAATGGCTACATTAGCACTTAGTGTATTATGATAAGTTGATTGATTTATCTTCATGCTGGGCAGTAGAGTTAACCCATTATTTTATGGAACTTCTAGTTTTGTTAGTGTTGGTCAGGAATTGTTTTTGTGCCTTGATAAGGCACAATAATTGATTGTTGACTACTGCGTTAAGAACTTTATAGCATAATTACTTTTTTGTGCATCTTGTTTTTGTTCTCATCGTTAGTGCAAAACTAGGCCTATGCTGTTTCTGTTTGTTCAGATGGTTCTGGTTCTTCTGAGCACACTCACATGCTAACCCCCTCATTACGATAAGCTGCTTGTGCAATAGTTATTTACTTTTGTTTTTGTTAGTGTGTGTGTGTGTGTTTGTTCTTTTCTTCTTTCTATCTTCAGCTGCTAAACTACTCTTGCAGTTGATATGCTGAATATCTCTTAATTGAGATATTTGTGATTGTTTGGGGCTTACACACATGCTAATTCCTTGTTAGCCCCAGTTATAAGGTCTCATTTACTTGTTAGTATTGATTTTCAGCTGCTAAGCTTTAATGGCTTTATTGCCGAACGTTTGAAGTTACGATGCCCTCTTTCTTCTTGTAGTTGTTTGCTTGTTTATTTTGGTTTGTGTTTGCATGCATCCGTGCATGTGTGTATGTGCTTGTTCTTTTCTTCTTTCTATCTTCAGTTGCAAAACTACTCAAACAGTTGATATGCTGAATATCTCCTAATTGAGAACCCGCATCTAACCCCCGGTTATGAGGTCTCTCAATTACTTGTTGGTATTGATTTTCAGCTGCTAAACTTTCCAAGTTTTATTAACTAACGATTGAAGTACGGATCAAATTTTGCAGGCACCCAATACTCTCAACAATCTTATAAAGTAAGCGACTCCTTTCCCTTCAAGTGGATCAATAAGAAGTGGAGAGAAGGGTTTCATGTGACCTCCATGGCAACAGCTGGTAGCCGATGGGCTGTTGTCATGTCTCGCAATGCTGGCTTTAGTGATCAGGTTGGGCTTTTCATCTTCACTAATATTTGTTTTCATGTTAGTAGCCTTTTTTTGGTAGCAATTTAAAAATTGTCTTATTTTTTTTCAAATAAAAAATTGAATATGGAAAAATTGCACATGAAATTTCTGAAAACTGTTCCTGAAAGTATCACGGGTTAGGAAACTCTTTAAAACTGATTTTGAAGTTGATGTTAAAAGAATGCAAGCAATCCTAATGCTTCATCCCTAATTCTTTGTGTAACTGGATGGGCCTTGTATAGGTTATGTTTTCTGGGGTAATAAAGGGAAGGGTTTTGCTTTTCTTTATTCTTCTTCTTCTTTCTTTCCGCTTCTTTATTTTTTATTTTATTTTTTGGGGGGTGGGGGGGTGCCTGAGGAGAGTGTTGAATTAGGTCTTCCAGTTGCTTGGAGGTGCATGTATCATCTCATTTTTGTCAAGGTCTCTTTGGGTTTTCTCTTTGGTGTCTGTGTATGTTTGATGTATGGTAATATAGCCCCAGTGCACATTGGTCTGAGGAAGTTTTTGTGGTTTGTGTTCTGTTGAATTTTTAAGTGGAAATAGAAATAGTAGCATTGAGGGTTTTCATTGAATATTTAATGGAGGTAGAAGTAATAGGTTAGGAGGTTTTCAAGATGGGAGTTTGCAAAACCAAAAACCTCTTGGACAAGTGGGATGTTTGGTTTAGATGCTTTATTTTGGAGTTTAGGGTTTCAAAGCTTCTTGGTCCATCCATGTCACCAATTGGATTGGTCCACATCCTGCGCAGCTGCCCTTAAAAAGGATGTGGTTACTCCCATTTTCTGTGGTAATCTTCTTTAAGATGAAATCAGGACTGAGAAATAGGTTCTTGTATCCAAGTGAAACTATGTGGGTGTTTGGGAAGTGGGTTTCTTTTGTAGGTTTTTTTAGTTGTAGGGTATTATTGGAGAAATTTTTTTTTTGTGTTTGGGAAGATAGTTGGGTTTTTTTGTGGTTGAATGTGATGTTTGTGAGAGAAAAAATGAAATGATTATGGGGTTTGATGTGATATTTTGTTTGGATTTGGTTTTTTTGATTTTGTAACTAATTTGTCTTTTAGTGAAAAAAAACCCCAAAAAAATTCCTTCCCAAACACCTTACGTTCTTGGTACCGTGGTCTATTTGAGTCTGTTGTCTTTGTTGGGACAGCTTTAATTAATCTGCTCTCCTTAGGTGGCTTGACTTGGCCACTCCTGGCAAGTTCAACCATGTGATCAAATCTTAACATCAATTTCATAATTTTAGCAGATTGTTTGTTATATTCCAGTTGATTTCGTATGCATTTCCTCTGTTGCTCTCTTAAAACATTTCACTGGCTATATAGGTTGTTGAGCTTGATTTTCTTTATCCGAGTGAGGGAATTCACAGACGCTGGGATGGTGGTTATCGTATTACATCAACAGCTGCTACTTGGGATCAAGCTGCTCTTATCTTGAGTGTACCAAGACGCAAACCTGGTGATGAAACTCAGGAGACTCTGCGGACATCTCAGTTTCCAAGTACACATGTAAAGGTAAAAACTTCATGAATTTGTGACTTGTGGTTGTTGTTCATCTCAGTTAACTTGTCGTAGCTTTTCATCTCAGTTAATGGGTTCATCTTCAAAATCTATGGGAAATTTTCGGATTTGTTTGGGATGTCCTAAATAAGTGCACTTTTTGACTTTTTGAACTAAAAAGTTGAGGAAAAAAATATGGTTGTTTGGATTAACTTTTTGACTTTTTACGAAAAAATGTGTATTAAAATTTGTATAAATTAGTGTGGTAGGAGAAGTTAGGGAGAGTAGGCAGTATGGCCATATCGTCTGGGCAGAGGGATTTGATATAAGAAATGGTTGTCTCCTTTTTGGGCATTACATTGGACGGTGTTGTTCGGCTCGTGGAGGCCTACCACAGGTCCTATTTTGCTAATCGAAACTGTTTAATGTGTAGAACTCGTCGAGTACTATATGCTTGTAAAAAATCACGTTGATCGAATATCTATAGCTATCTGATCGGATTAGTTTTTTTTCAACCGTTAAACTGTAACACCATCCATTTTTTTATGCAAAACTGATTTGATCATGTGGTTAGCGATATCTGATCAATGTGATTTTTTGCAGACATATAGTACGCGATGATTTCAACACATTCAATGGTTCAGATTATCAAAACAGGACCCGTGATGGGTCCAACACTGTTGTTTGTGCACCCTGCCTGTGCAATTTTTCCAAAAAACTTAGCAACAGTCTGTGAGACGTCAGACTGAGTTGTATAATGTGTGTGTAAAATTAATTATTATTATTATTATTATTAATTTTTTTTCGGTGAATAGTGATAACTTTTTAACTTTTTTAGTAACATTTTGACTCTTTGGATTATTTGGGGTATGCCAAACCAGCATACTTCAGTATGATCACAAAAGATAATTATTTAATCCATCTTCATAGATATGACGGGAAACATCTGTTTTCTAGCCAGCGCTGGACACTTGGGGTCCTTCCACCATTGTGAAAGTCATTTTTTGTAGCATCTTTTCTGTTTTTTATTGTTCCCTGCTTTTCTAGGATGGACGGAGCTGATTTTAAGAGTTCCTTTAACCACTATATTAGTGGCAAATTGGCAATTAATTTGCTGTTATGTCATCAGAAGCTTAGGTACTAATCAAAAAAAAAAGAAAAGAAAGAAAAAAGAAGCTGCTTGAGGTTTTGTTATCCTACTTATTAGAAAAATATAAGAATGCAGGTTATCCTAGTCCTGCTGATTTGGCGTCGAATTAATTGTAGACTGCGGAAAGTATTTGACGAACAGCATTGTGCAACTCAATCCAAACATATAATTGGTTGTGTTTTATTCATATATATGAAATATTGTGTGTATATATGTAATGTAGTTTGGAGGTGATTGGTTCAGTTTTTTTGATTTAATGTGCAGGAAAAGTGGGCAAAGAATCTCTATCTGGCATGTGTGTGCTACGGACGAACTGTGTCTTGATTTGTATTTTACATTCAAGGGAGATTTGGGCTTGTTGAAGTAAACAAACCAACCGGGAGCCAATTTCAGAGTTTCGTCTTTTATTCGCTTTTTTCTCCCCCACACCCCCGTGACCAAATGGTAACTGTAAAAGAAGTTGATAGGAGCTTGATCTGCATCAGCTGAAACATTGTGCCATTGTATACCTATATTTATATATGCTGGAGCTGTACTCTATGGCTTTTCTTCACAGCTAAACAATTCCAGCAATGATTGAACTCCTTACCTTTTGTTTTTTGAAGTTTAAGGTGCCCATGTACAGAACTTTGAAAAGATCATGGACAGCTCTCTATCCATTGTTGGTTTTTTTTTTTTTATGTTTTTCTAAAAATAAACAATAAATAAACAAAAATCAATTTATAAAATTTTTGTAAATATAAACTGAAAACGTAAACGTTACCAAACACACCCTAGTTATTTTACAAATTAAAGTTCCTTGGGGATTTCAAATTCGGGGATTTCAAATAATTTCTAGTTGAGGGTCACAGGATTACCAATTTTGGGCTAAGGTTCTTTTGAGTCTTCATGAATGAATAGAACCATAATTATTTAACGATTGAAATTGAATTATTCTTTAAAAAAAAATTCGTACAATTGTAAATTTTCCAAATTTTTCTTTAAAATTAAATGTTACGTTTATTTAAAATCATAATTTTGGAAGGAAAACTTTTATTTATGCTTTAAAAGTTGGGATAAATTATTCCTTCATCTCTTAAGGTATGGATTGTTTTAGGATAAATTATTCCTAATGTGTGGATTGTTTGCCACTTTGGTCCTTAAAAGAAAATTTCTTTCACTATGGTTCTGAATTATTTTTCATTTTTGGTCTGATTACCAATTTCCATCACTAAGGGGCAATTTTGAAAATTTAAAATCTAAGTGTTCCAACTTGGTTCCAAAAAAAAAAAAAAATTCTCCTTGAGTTGTCAAATCTAAATTTTACTATCTCAAAATAATCCTCTTACCCAAAATCCTACCCAAGTGAATCTCAAAAATCAATTTTCTGCCGATATAAAAAATTGTAAGAAAAGCTTTTTTTTAAGTGACAGAATAAGAAAAAGTGTTATACTTTTAACATTTGTGTGATATTAATGTTACAAATATTATAATTTACATATGGTATACACTCCTTTGCAAGGCATGTATTGTAGAACCCAAAATTAAAAGAGATGAAAGTGTAATTTAGCTAAAAGTTATGGCTTGACGCGTCGCAATTATAACGGTTCCCTAATCTGATAGGTATATCTTCTTCGTTTCTCAAGAGAGAGAGAGAGAGAGAGAGAGAGATGGCGTTTCATCTCTCATCCACTGCAGTGGCCTCCTCAGCTTTCCTAGTCTGCTCTCTGTACTCCCCAAAGCACTGTGAGTCTCCCCCAATTTGTCTGCTTTTTTCAATTTTAAACCATGAAAATGCCCATTAGTATTATTTGTTTTTTTAGCATTTCATTGCAGTCCTTTTGCCCTGTGAATACTCTCACTCACTACTCTCTTCCACGCAAAAACTCTAAAAATCATGACTGGTTTCTCAAATGTCATAGAATTTTTACAATCAAACCCAATTTTGAAATTTTCAGAATTTACACAATTACTGGTTTTTTTTCAAATTTTGTGTATTTGATTATGTTTATTTTGTTTTGTTTGTTTGTTTTTTTTTTTCCTGGTGACGAATAATTAATATAGCACACTTGAAGTCAGTTGGGTTTCATGTAAAATCCGGGTTGGAAAATGAGATCAACGTTTCAGACCCTTCATCAGAACCAATCAACATGAAGGTATATGTTTTCGTCATCTTCCTAGAAACTTAAATTTATATATTTATTTTAAGTTTGTTTAATTTTTGGTGGTGAGTCTAGTTAAAATTAGAATGGGTTAGAAATCTTCCACTAATTCAGGTAAAATTTTCTAATTTACATTACTACAGGGATCTCAGACACAAACTTCGCGACGGAATTGTTTGAAGTGTTTATGTTCAGCTATAGCTTTGATAAACATTAGCAGTTCTGTTTCTGGACCAAAGGCGGCAATTGCCCTGGATGGAAAAGAAAGACCCGTCTGTCGGAACTGTAGTGGTAGTGGTGCTATAATATGTGAGTAGATGTTTGCTTGCTCTCCTTTATGGTTAATTTCATTTCTTTGTTTCTTGTCGAATATTTGGACAATTTGTTGTGCGATTATTTTCTTTTCCCAATAATCCTCGAATCCTATGGCTTGGAAATTTCTTCCACTCACTAATACTTGTTCATCTCATCAGAATTGCCAAATTTTACAAATCCCTATGCATTTTGGAACTGCTGATTTTTTTTTTGTATTTGTACAAATTCATTTTGTGAAGGATCTAGACTTCATCAAGGAGAATGGGAATTGTGTACGGAGCTTTTTGTTCCGTATTGGTGTACTTGTATGATTCCAAACTTGTAGAGTATTTTAGCAGATCGTTTGGCCAACATCATAACAAAATGGACCTATGACTCGGGAGGTTTTATGATGTAGGCCAGCACTAGGAATTTGAGAAATGGGACTTGGGTTATGAAAAGTTTGCTCATTAAGGGTTTAGAATTATAAGGGTAGTTGAAAAGTTGAGGAGTTTTTAGATGAAAGGGTCCTGTATTTTAGAACTTCTTTCATATGACTTGCATGCTATAATTCATGTATAGTTTCTACATTTTTTAATTTTCTTCTAATTTGTTTGATTTTTTGATATATCTATATATTCACAAAACGTATTCCTGAAGGATTTTTCTTTGCCTTGCGAGTTTGCAAAAAAAGTTTCACTTCCATCTCTTGCCATCCAAGAAATTAGATGGCTTGCAAGATAATAAAATTGGGGGATCATACATCACTTTCTTTGTTTTGTTAACATGTCTATGATTCTTTCTCGACCCTTTTCCTCTTATGGGTGCAAAATACATTATACTTTAGTAAAAGAAATGGTGTAAAGAAGAAAGTTATGCACACGCAAGTTTTTGAAATTTCTGAAAACATTAACTATAATGCAAAATTTTCACTAATCGTATCCTTCCCTGGTTTATGAGATGTTCGTCTGCTTTCTATTTAGGTGACATGTGTGGTGGTACAGGAAAATGGAAGGCTCTCAACAGAAAACGGGCCAAAGATGTTTATGAGTTCACTGAATGTCCAAATTGTTACGGTATGTACTTTTTCCACAATGCTCCTAAATGCCGGTTAAGGTTTTTGTGTATACAAATATTTTCATGGCTATCCTAAACTTGCATTGATTAGAAATTAGTATGACATTGCTGAACTCATAGTGGTTTGGGGTACATTTCTACTTCAAGTGAAAATGGGAACATTCTACTTTAATCATTTCGTAGAGTGGAATCATCTATTAGAGATTTGAAATAAAAAATTATGAAAAAGAATTAATCTTCACATCATGTAAGTTGGGCATGTGTTCCTGCAAGCAGTGTCTTGGGTTATGAGCAGGAATTTAACTCTATGAGATCTAGTATCCAGTTGTTCCTCAGCAGATCAATGGTAAAGCGGTCTGCAGTAAACTGATTGTTTGGTAGTTTGAACCTACTTGGGGAGATTTTATTCAGTCTAAACTAAAAATATCAGAACAGTAGGGTCATTCAGATTATGCATTGAATTTTTAATAGTAGCTCTGTAATTGGAGAAGTGTTTTCTATTGTGCATAGGAAAAGAAAGAAGTGATAACAAAAGTTTTTTAGAGCTAATTATATTATACATCGTGATTTTAGCACAAATTACATCAAATAAAACAAAAACAAAGAAAGAAGATTGAAGAAAAGACCTACTTGGGGATATTTTTGGAAATAAATGTGACATGCCAACACCAACTCAGAGGTAGGCTTTATATAACAAAGTAGATGTCGTAACTACATTATTATTATTATTATTATTATTATTTTATGTTTTGAGCAATGCAATATGCGCTAAAATTCTAGTGCTTTTAGTAAGATTTTTAGTGCATGTAGCATTGTTCTTTTTCTTTTCTTTTTTTCTTCTTTTTTTGGAGTTCAAGCTCTTGGTGAGGCACATTGATAATTTGAGCCACCTCCAAGATAACAGAGGACCTGACGTGTTGTAGATGAAATAAATAAAGGAAAAAAAAACTGAATGGAGATGGTGATGATGAGAGTGGAAAGCGTCGTTGATTGACTTGCATCTCTTGCCATCCAACTTAGAGGTAGGCTTTATTTAACAAAGTAGATGTCATAACTACATTATTTTTGAAAGTTACGTTTTGAGCAATGCAATATGCACTAAAATCCTGTGCTTTTGTATGAGTTTTAGTGCATGTAGCATTGTTCTTTTTCTTTCTTTTTTTTGTTTTTCCTCTTCTTTTTTTGGAGTTCAAGCTCTTGGTGAGGCACATTGATAATTTGAGCCACCTCCAAGATAACAGGACCTGACGTGGGTTGGAGTTGTAGATGAAATAAAAAAAAGGAAAAAAAAAAACTGAATGGAGATGGTGATGATGAGAGTGGAAAGTGGCGTTGATTGAACTTCATGTCTAAGAATAGTTAAACTTGACCATCACTCACTATAATTGGTTCTAGATCCATTTGGAAATCTGATTATGGTTTTATCATTCATGTCTGTCTTTATTTTTAGAGGATATATATTAACTTCGAATTTGTCAGATATGTAAACCGTCTGGTTCATCATTTTGTTTATGAATTGTGGTGCAGGTCGAGGGAAACTTGTGTGTCCTGTTTGTTTAGGTACTGGTTTGCCAAACAACAAAGGTCTTCTTAGGAGGCCCGATGCACGACAATTGCTTGATAAGATGTATAATGGTCGGCTTTTACCAAACTCGTAAGATACTTTTTCTCCTCCAGTTGCTTAGTATTCTAATTTGCTCTGCCAGAAAATGTTTAATGTTTCATTTTAAACGCAAAATGCACGTGTCAACAATTCTATTTCCTCTCTGTTCAAAAAAAAAAAAAATTATTTTTCCTCTGTTCAGTTACATCGAATAGTTAATTTAGTACAGATTATGCTTTGACACTCAATCAATCGAAAAGCTTTTTAAAATAACTTCTGAACAATTGCAGTTAGTGGCCTCACTTTTAGAGTATACAACCTCAACAAGATGGAACAAGAAGCTGCAGCAATTGTAAATATGGTAAATTTATACCATGCACAACACACGTGGAGATCCAAGCGAGTGTCCTAAATGTATTTTTCTGTAGTATGATTGTTTAGGCTCTCTCTCTCTCTCTCTCTGTAATTGTGGGTTGGTGAATTGCCTCTATTTGATTTACACAACAGTCACCTGTTAAGGTTTATGCAATACATAGATACTGGCCTACTACGTCTTCTGCTCAATTGATTTTAAGGGCAAACTTGATTAATTTTGGCATGTTTGTTAACAAAATGGCTACTTTCTTGTGGGGTCTCAATTTTCCACTCTCTTCATTGTTAGGAGAAAAACATAATGAAGAAGATTAGAAACACCACTGTTTACCCAATCCCATTGTGATTAGGAGGTAGAAACTGGTATTATCGTTGGCAATACTGAGACATAATTTATTAATTGTTACAAAAGATCCAGATCCCTAACACTCCACCTCGCAAAAAGTAGTGAAAATTTCTGCATGTAACAAAAACAAAAAAAGTTCTACCACTAGCAAAATTGAGACAACATATCTATGCAAAGACACTTTTCAGCCCCAAGTAGCCATTATCACCTTGTTCAAATGGATAACTTGGCCAAAAACTAAACTTCCAGCAGGAAAGGGACTTCCAGAGCGGCAAAAGAGAGACTTACAGACCATATCATTCTGAGCTTGTGTCCATTACTTCTTTCCTAATTTTGATAGGCACACTCTCACTGACAATTTTAGCATATTCTTCACCATTTAGCCTCAATAACAACTTGACCAAGCATCTGCTATTTATTTACAATGATTGTGCAACAGACACTTCTGTTTTCAAATCACTCTGCTTTGGCTTCTTTCTACTTTGGCGCTTCAACTTATTTGAAGCTTGATCAGCCGTGGAGACTATTTTTGAGACAGTAAATCCAGCTTCTTCGAAACTCTCTGCTCTGTAGGGAATCAAAGAATTGCGAAGAATAACATCAACACCATCGTAAGTCCAAACTCCTAACAAAGCCTCTCCTTTAAGTCCAACAGCAAACCAACCAAGACCTGCAGCGGCTATGTCTACAGAACTCGAATCCCAACTGTTACCACAGACACGAAATTCTTTTCTAATCCATTGTCCAAGCTCTTCAACACGTTTCTCCCCAATTGGTGGCTGAAACATGGAAAACATGTAACAGGATTACAACCAGACATCCAAAAATCAATGCATCACGTGAAAAAAAGAAGATTCATTTACAAGAAGCACCTTTTATCTGAACCACAGACCTAATATATGGGCTTCAAGCACCTGATTATTCAGAAACCACCATGGTTGCTTTTAATCAGTAGATATTTAGGCCAGACTCGCCACAAATTTAGGGTTGGATGATTCGGAAGTTGTAAAAAAATAATGACATGAGCTGAATGTGGGGAAAATGATATACAATCCCAAATAGTTGATATATACACTCCAAGTGAAACAGATAGTTACTGGCACATTTCATGGATGAGATCCATCAGATGAGTGCATGGCATAAGGCACTAAACAAGGTCTCAGGACTCTTTCTTTTGTTACAAATGATGATCTTTAAAAGATGATGGGAATAGTGATAACTGAACTAGGAAACTCATGAGCAAGGAATACAAAAATCATCCTGGAGGGTTAGGGGTGAACCATACCTGCAATTGACGGCCAAAATGATCTTCCAGCATTTTGTACACATTCTCAGTTTTCCCCATGTGTAGTGGAAGATAAGGAGAAGCCCACACTGTGACATAAACGGAATCTACAGATGATTCCTCTATATCTAGCCTCATGAGTCCACCAATATGAACTGAATGTCCTGCCTATGACAACCCAATATTATAAACATAAGCCAAATATATATGATGCAAAGATTCAATATTCAACAAAATCCTATGAAGCAACTGAGTGCTCACAGGTTCAATATGAGCAACAGTACAAGCAATAGGACAACAGAAGTCGGAAATACACTTGTGATATTAAAAACTTTCAAATACTTGGTTCATTATACAGTGCTTACACATTCACATCAGTTATTTATGGGAATTGATAATTAAACCACTGCAACTATCAATTGACCAGGTTTCTAAAACTCGTGACTTCAAATTTTCACACAAACACAGTAGATGTTTAAAATGTTCTAATATATGTATATATAGAAAGTCGACCTAATGCGCAAGGCTCTTGTTAAAGTGGGGTCTGGTACAGCACTAAATCATTCTCTTTTCTTGCCTAATGAGACCCCAAAGTATTACCCCTTTAAAATATAATTACAAATCCATAAATTTCCTACTCTTATCAACTTTGGCTGCAAAAACTGTTAAACAATAAGCCAACAAAAAAGCCTTTTTTTGCTGCCCCAAATTAATTTTGGCATCAAGGGTATGTGAGACAGTTCATTACATTCATCCTACATCAACTAACCTTTGGCATGAAAATTGAACAATTAAATCACATTGCATCTTTCTAATAATGAACAAGAAAATTATCATCTTACAAACCTTGATTCTGTATGTCCTGGGTTTCAACTCCTTGCTAATTTGCACAAGTTTCTGCTCTTCCCTCGTCAACCTCGTAGAAATTTGATGAGGATTTAAAAGTCCTGGCGTATCAAACAACTTCGCCTGACTTGGTAGTACCCCCTCAACCCTGACAATTCCCAATGTAGTCCCAGGCACTGGCGCTTCAGTCAAATGTGTAACCTTCCCACCAATATGCTTCCCTATCGAATTAATCAACGTAGACTTCCCTGCATTCTGTGACCCAATTGCCCACACATTCCCTCTTGGCCCTGCCAATCCCACCACATCATCACAAAGATTCTTCAACCCCCAATCTCTCACTGCACTCACCAAATGCACACTCATAATCTTATTCGCTCCTCCCTCTCTCGCCCTTGTTCGAACCCAATGCTCCAACCTTGTTGGAGACAATGAAGCCGGTAACAAATCAATCTTTGTCGCCACCAACACCACCCGCGGCACATTCCCAGATTTCCCCTCCTTCCACCCCCTATAATTCTCATCAATGGTAGCCGAAACCAAATTCGCGACTTTCCTCGGGAACGACCCATCAAAATCCGACACATCCACCACCATCAAAACCACCGACCTCGCCCGAGTTACCGAATTCAACTTCCTCCCAACCGTATGATCAAAATCGAAATCCGGCAATAAATTCTCCACCGTGGAATCCTTCACCTTCCCGTAATGCCTCAACGAGTGACACCTTGCACAAACCACAGGCTTTTCAGGCAACAAACTAGGGTTATTGGGGTTTTCGTCATTTTCGGATTCCACGTGCTCTCTGAGAAAGCCCCTTTTCAGGGAATTCGATATCTCCGGTTCTTCAGCAACTGGGTTCCGATTGATGGGAGATTTGTAATCAGGGTTTTTGGGTGATGGTTTGATGAAGAACCCAGGTTGTTTTGTGTCTGTGTCCTGCATTGGGACACCACAACCAGGGCAAATTGGGAGAGTTTTGGAAGTGGATTCATCGTAATTTCCATCTCTGTTGAGGTGTAGAGTTGTGGGTTTTGGTTGTTTGGGTTGTTGTGAGGAGAAAGATCTGAGAAACAATTGTGAAGCTAGGGTTTTAGTAGGGTTTTGGGGAAATGGTTTTGTTTGGGGCTCAAAGATTGATGATGGAAGAGATGTAGTAGATACAGGAGGCTCTGTACATGTATATTTTGAGTGAGAGAATTGAAGGAGGCGTTTGAGCTTTGATGTAGAGACTGCTCGGACTATCATTCTCTCTCTCTCTCAACCCTAAACCCTATACCTCAAAAAAATAAAAATAAAAATACCTCAACAGTGCTTTGCCATGCTTCTTTCTTCTTTGTGCCTGAGAATTGTGAAGCTTAATTTCTATTTATGGCTGCATTGGGACACCACAACCAGGGCAAATTGGGAGAGTTTTGGAAGTGGATTCATCGTAATTTCCATCTCTGTTGAGGTGTAGAGTTGTGGGTTTTGGTTGTTTGGGTTGTTGTGAGGAGAAAGATCTGAGAAACAATTGTGAAGCTAGGGTTTTAGTAGGGTTTTGGGGAAATGGTTTTGTTTGGGGCTCAAAGATTGATGATGGAAGAGATGTAGTAGATACAGGAGGCTCTGTATATGTATATTTTGAGTGAGAGAATTGAAGGAGGCGTTTGAGCTTTGATGTAGAGACTGCTCGGACTATCATTCTCTCTCTCTCTCTCTCTCTCTCTCTCTCTCAACCCTAAACCCTATACCTCAAAAAAATAAAAATAAAAATAAAAATACCTCAACAGTGCTTTGCAATGCTTCTTTCTTCTTTGTGCCTGAGAATTGTGAAGCTTAATTTCTATTTATGGTTGGGTTGTAATTTGGACGGATTCAATTTGAACAATCTGAATTTAATTTGAATATTTTTAGGATTTAGATAAAATGTTTTTTAAATTCGATATGGGTTTAGATAAAAGTTTAAAAGCCTCCAATTAAATTTAAGCGAACTTGGGTAAAGATGTCAAACAATTCGAGCAACTCGAGCCCGAATTATACATATATAAATATGTAAAAATATTAAATATATATAAATTATTAGTCATTACATGATATTAAATTAATTTAAATTATTAAATCATATCATATATATATACAAAAAATATAAAATCTTACTTTTTTTTTAATTTTTACTCATAAATTGTAATGACTACTATAACTGCATCTCTCTTACATTATTAAATTATTTGTTTTAATGGTATTAATGATTTTATATAATAAAAAAATATATAAATAGAGTCAAATTTTAATAATTTAATAATGTAGCCAGAAAAAAAAATGAAATTCATTTACAATTCGGATTTCACTCGGGTCAGGCTTGGTCAGGCAATCTCGAGTTACAATTCGGGCTTGAGCAGGCCTGGGCAAGTCCCGGTACAACTTAGGTTGGGCTTCGACAATCCCCTAACTCGACTGAACTCGCCCGTGTTGCACCCCTAATTTATGTAGACTAAGATTATCTCCACCGTTTATTCTTTTTTTTCTTTAATTATATTTGAGAAAAAGTTTCATTTAAGGCAAATTGTTTGAGATGATCTAAATAAATACATTTTTTAATTTTTTATGAAAAGATATATAGAAAAGTTGAGAGGTGATGTGACTTAAAAAAAATAAAAAAATAAAAAGTGTACTTATATAGTACACCCCAAACAAAGCCTTGTCCCTATGGTTTGATATTTGTGTTACTTTGGTTGCTTTTCAATTGTGACATATTTGACTCTAAATTTTGAATCTTGTTTTAAATAAGTCGTCAATTTGATAAAATAAAAACTAATTTGATAAAAATAAATGTCAAAAAAATATTTTTGAATTTTTAAAAATTGTTTCTACCCATTAAAGATAAAATTGTGTAAAATTAATAAATCTTTTAGACATTTATTTATTTATTTATTTTTATTATGTGTTTGGATAATGATCATGTAATGGGTAGTTTTTATTTTCATTAAATTAGTTTCTATTTTTCAAAAGTCAAATATAGCGACAACTTAATATCATTATTAAACCAATCCATTAAATCAAAAAAATCAAAATTAAAAATATTTTATATATTAAATATATTGATTACACATTAAAATCCTAGCAATCACCAATTACATGATCATTATAAAAACACATAATAAAAATTAATTTGGTATAATAAATAAATAAATGTCTAAAAGATTTATCAATTTTACATAATTTTATCTTTGGTTGGTAGAAATAATTTTTAAAAATTTATAAATATTTTTTTGACATTTATTTTTGTCAAATTAGTTTATATTTTATCAAATTAGCAATTTTGCCCTTGAAATTAAGTAATTATATCTTCAATTGTCCTTATTTAGAACAATATTCAAAATTAATGATCAAATGTGTCACAATTAAAAAAATCAGGAATTAAAGTGATATGAGTCTCAAACTATAGTGACTGTTAGTGTAATTTACCCTGTCAACTAATATCGTGAATTCTAATGAAAAATTTTAAATTTTCATCAAGTATTGGTCAACTAAGAGGACAACCGGACAGATGTGGGCCAGTCAACCGATTCGGTGTAAATTGACCACAGTTGATAGGACAATTTTGTAAGGAAGAGGCTGTCTAGGAAGACGTCAGCCCCAACGATCACCTACAAATTTGATAAAACGTTCTAGACATCCTCAATTTAATGAAAAGTTTAAGACATCATTAATTTGATATTAATTTGATGTTATGACTGGAACACCAAACCGGAAAACGTTGGAAACACTCTAAAAGTGAATATGATTTATGAAAAAATATATATATATTATTTCAAAATTTGTACAATGAATTACACTATTTGTTGACTTTTTATGAAAAGACATACAGAAAAATAAAGATATGATGTGACTCAAAAAAGATAAAAAAAATAAAAAGTGTACTTATAGGGTGCGTTTGTTTGGACGAACTGGATAAGGAGGGATTGTAATCCATCGGACTGTTAGTCCTGGGATACATTGTCCCTGGACTATTTGGTCGGACTAGATTTGTATCCTATGTTTGTTTAGTCATGGGATTAGAGGTCTGGATTGGACTATTCTATTGAATCCCATGTTTGTTTGGGATATTATGGAGAAGGATAAATGTTCAAAAGACTATTTTGCCCTTTTGAATTATTTACTAAATAATAAGAATATTAAATCTAAATTATAAATTTTATTTAATTTGTTTACTATAACTTTTAAAATATTAAATAAATAGAATATTAATAAATATTACATAAATTTATTTTAATTTGTAATTGAGATGTTTATTTTTATTTTATTTTATTAAGTATAATTAATACCATGAATGCACCAAATATTAAATTTTTTTGATTTCATGCGTAATTCTAGTCGATCAAGACAAGGTAGCAATTGTGATAACAACATGACAAAGTTCTTGACTTCATGCGTCACAGATTTTGTTGACTTCATGCCTAATTCTACCTTGTCATTCTAATTTTTTCAAGTGTTCAACTAAACATCTAGCAAGATTTTTAGTGTAGCTAGATTTTTGTATAAAAAGAATATATATCACAATCCTTGATATAAAAAATCACAATTTTATTATCATAAAAAATCAAATGATAACCTCAAAGCAAAAAAATCTGAAAACACAATTTGTGAACACCCTTACATAAAAAAATCAACCTATATATTGCTTTGTTATGTTATTATCAGAATTTTTTTGCTTTGTCATAACCAGAAATCTGGAAACACAATACAAAGCCAACCATAGAAAGGCAATATATACAATTTTACTTTCATACAGAGTAAAATTTTACTTTCATACAGAGTAAAATTTTACTTTTAGTTTCAGAATGTAAAATTTTACTTTTATACAGAGTAAAATTTTACTTTCATACAGAGTAAAATTTTACTTTCATACAGAGTAAAGTTTTACTTTCAAATGCACACCCATGTAAATCTCCAAATCTTATCAAATTTCAAACACATTCAGTGGTTCCAACATGGAGATATAAACTGTGTTTACATTCTCTTTTCATAGAGCTCATACTCATTCCAAATGCCTATACTAATATTAGCCAACACGTATTCATGCTGTCAACAATACACCTCACATTGAGCTTCCTAAGGAAGTCTTAAGTTTACAGATCTGGAAAAAAAAAAAATCTAGAATAACTAAAAGATCGAAAAATCTGGAAAAAATTTGGAAAAAAATCTGCTGAAAATAAATAGCATGAAGTTGCTGAAAATTAATAGAATAAAGCTCAGCAAAAAATAAATAGAATGAGTTTCAAACCTGAATGAAGATCGGATGCAAAGGTTCAACAGATCGAAGATTCAAGATGAAATGAAGCTCTTGCTCCTACAGTGAAATGAATCTGCTGCAGTGAAAGCAAAATGGGAAAAGCTAAAAGAAAGATGAGAGGGTCAAAGATGTAATAAAGCTAGCCAATCCCATGGGATACATTATCCCATAGATTCTGTCCCAGGCCCCCCCAGGGATACAATAAACCAGTGAATTCCGGATTAATAGTCCGGAGGGATTATTAATCCAGACCAAAAAATCCATACCAAACAACGGACTATTAATCCCTTCGGATTAATAGTCCAATCCCATGAGTTATCTTTCAAAACAAACCAGCTGATATAGCACACCCTAAACAAGCTCTTAATTTAATAGGTACTTTGTTTGTATAATTTAAGTTGGTCAAATTATAATTTTTTTTTTCCCTTTGCATCAAAATAGTATTTAACAATTACTCATTTGTACAATTATCTCTAATGGACCACAAGGATAGAAATCAAAAAAATTAAAAATAGCTTAGGGATGAGATTAAAAAAAAAAAGTAATAATTTTAAGAGATAAGAATGTACAAATTCCTCATATTAAGATTTATTGATTTCTTTTATTTAATGTTTGTAATTTGGGTATGAAAAGAGTTTATTGATTTTATTGAATTACGTTTGGTTATAATTAAATTTAGACAAAGGTTATTTCTTCTTTTTATTAGTTTTTTTTTTCTCTGTCTTTTTAAAATTTAAAAAAAAATGATATATTTAATAATAATAATCATTATTTTTGTTTTACTTACTGTTACAGCCTATTTGGATTCAGATATTTGGAAAAAAAAATAAAAGAATGCATTTATTTGAATCTATATCACTCGTCTGGATAAGTAAAGAGGAGTGAAATAGCAAGCAATTGTGAAAATCACTCAATCAACTATATTATGAAAGTGGAGAGATTGTGAGAGAGAAAAAAAAAAAGAAAAAAAAAAAGAATGCTACTATTAGCACTTCATTAATTATTTTGAATTCTTTATTTTTTAGCTTTTTTATTATAATAATTACCTCAAATGAAATTACCAAAAAAGACATTAAAAATTTTGAGACACTCTATCTCGTAATTAAGCCCACACACCTCCTATATCATGAGTTAGGGTTTATGAGACCATCTATCCCATCACCACCCATCTTATCTTTCCCAAATCCCACATTGAAAACATACCTACCCTCAAAACCTTAAAAACTCCTTTGGTGGCAATATTTCGACAGCAATAGTGGCAACCATGGTGGAGGTTTTTTTGGCAACCATAATTCCATGAGACGAAAGGAGTATAACAATAAAATCTCATAAAATATTCATAACTTTTATGGTGTTAGCTTAGAGGAGATTGCTATTGTAAAGGTAAGTTTCTTGGAAAAAAATGACAAAAATAATAAAGATTATTCGTCATTTTTTCATAACTGAACTCCCAAAATTCAAGAACACAGGTTTGAACATTGTTTATATGT